AATGTTAAATTGTTCAGTCTTATTAATTGAAATGTTTGTTATCAGTTTATAGTTATTTTTTATTTAAAAGCTTTCGGCTGATTCATTGTTTGGCCTTTAACATGGAGAATTCTGAAAAAGAAAATAGCTTGCATAGGGACTTGCTTCTATTAGGAGCTTTCTATGTCATGTAGTAACACATGTACCAGCTCGACCATCGAATAGAATTTTCTGTAGGAAATGTAATTTTCTACTTCCAAATTAGAAACATTTTTATTTTAGGGTAAAGGATAAAAGCATATAATTGCGTTTCTGTTATTTCAGATCAACCAATAATGAAAGCTTTTTTTCAAAATTCGCATATATAAGTTTATTTTAAATTCAGATGTCAGCAGAGAACACCACCTGAAATTGAAAATAAATAGAATTGCTTAATTTTAAAAATCACGTTATGTCTACCTTCTATAGGAGATTGGAAATATAGCCACATATGTAAAAATGGATACAATAGAAAGCCATGAGCATTTTCATTAGAAAATCTTTTTATTTGCTTTCGAGTCATTAACTATTGTTTCTATAATTTATTGTATTACAAATCTTTCATTGGTTTAAAAACATTTGCATGGGAAAATCATGGTAATGAACCTCAAGAATCTGGTACAAAAAAAAACATAGCACCCACTGAGCTATACTCATTTACTTAAACGTTTTCGCAGAAGTATGAAAGGCAACAAAGTAGTAAGAAACAAAATTACTTTGGCGACTGAAAATATCTAATTTTGTCTAATTATGTAACTGTCAAAATAGAAAGAAAATGTCGTTAACTTTATTGGCGTTCTAATAATGGAACAACAAATATTATTTATTCATTCGTGTGTCCTCTTCGAAAGATTCGTGAATAATTCAACTACTTCCTCAAATAACATTTTCAATTTGGTGAAGGAGAGAATTACGAAAAAAAAGATGATTTCCGATGTCTTGATCAAATTTCCGATCAGATGTTCTTTTTGTCGGAAACATCGATTATCTTTAGAGCCTTCCATATATTTTGTTTATTTGTGTTCGGCTATATCCAGGGGAAGAAACCATAAAGCGATTGCTTTGAATGTATATGGCTAACAATCGAATGATACTCTTTAGTGTTTTCAGCAAATGTTGTTTTGTGTTGCATTGAATTTCTGTTTCTTTCAACACATCTTCGCCATCAATCTATTTATGTTACAAAACCAAAATATTAACCTAAATCTCGAGTCATGTTCTTAAATAGCCTTGTCAGATAGATGCTTTCAAATGTATGTCGTGCATGGCGTCCAACCCGTTCTGAAATTTCTAAACTATCAGCTACCTTTTCAGATCAATGATTAAAAATGGCTTCAAGCGAATCTAGGTCTTAAAAAAGACAACACTTCATTGGATCTTATAGACTGGCGCTACACAATCACAAACAAAGAACTTTGCCAAATAACTAAAACTATATGACTTGTCGACTTCCTACAACAACTAAAATGGATAACACTTGTAACTAGAAGAAAAAATGATATCATCAATATGTTTAAAATAAAATCTTAACAAAAATCTAGGAAGGGTACGCCCATCAATATAGGAAGAGCTATAACATTCAGTGGACATGAGAAGTCTACTTTCCTGAAAAATTGTTTTAGGCAATGTAGGATTGCATAAATTGTAATTCAAACAATGATGTTCGATCAATATATGCCTAATGTTTCCTGGATGAAAATGGCTAATAGAATATTAAGCAGTAAATATTTGCAGTCAGTTATGTACCATGCGTGATACACGCTTAGGCGATCATGTATCTTTCGATACATAACTAACGAAGCAGATTGTTTCCCACAGTAGGTTGCCATTTCTTTCTGCGGTAGACCAGTTGCCATCCAAGGCTGTTCTGCTATTTACCCATAGCTAGGGGAAGAAGAAAAGGATTCATACATTTCCCAAGGGTATTAGCACGTAAGTGAATGTAATGGATTCGACTGGAATTCGAACTCGGCTCTCCGATTTCTCAATCTGAGCCGCTATCCATTACTTCACAGATATTAGATCTTCATAAGGAGAGCTGTGGATTAACATAGGTGAGGTAGTAACCATATTACTAACCATTTTTAAACATAGATAATTCTGATAGAAACAGTGGTGACTATGAGCAGACGTTCCAACAACTGAAAGTTGCTTCCACTGAACAAAATTTACGAAACCTTGGAGAGCGATGATCGTCCACGTCCTCAGGGGACACGGTACGACGACGACGACGACGACGACGAAGAAGAAGAAAAGAAGAAGAAGAAGAAGAAACAGTTTTCTCTATTAAGCTGTTATTAAAATTAACAAAATTTCGCTTACATAACAAAAAACTCTCGAAAATATCTCAAAAAGAAAGTAATAACAACTTAATAGAGAAAACTGGCTTATATTCTTCTTCTTCTTTGTACCGTGTCCCTTCATGGTATTCTCAGTATCCTTCTGTAGAACCACATATGCTTCCAAACACAAGCTAATATCTAGTTGCAATGAACGGTTCCACTCTCAATGAGGCTTCCTGTTTTGAACATCTAATGGATTTCAAATTCACACCAGATTTCAAACCACTCTTATATAATATCCATTGCCAAAGATCCCGAAAAAATTGTTGGGTTTATTCTACCGATTCAGGAATTATATGGCTTATTCTGCCATACTTTATCTTTACATGAGTCAGATTGAACGAAAAATAAAGTATTGCTATTGTATCTGAGCTGGATCTACCTACTCCTCGCTTTTCAAACTTGACACTGTTCAAAATCAACGTGTCAAGTCAACCCCTACTCTATTTCTATTTCCATGGCAAATGTTCAGATGAGCTCAAATCTCCCAGTTCAGACATTTAAAGCTAGGATACGCCAAGCTACTTCCACGGAGTTGAATCAGCTTCATTTCCTACATATTTCCAATGTAAGGAGAAAGTTTAACCTCAATGAGATTTTTTCTCAAGAACTGCTAATTTTTAACGCGTCGATGATTCCTTGAACACTACAATCTTAACCTCTTCAAGTCAAGAGTCAATCGTTGTCTATCCTCCTTATCCTCATAATCTTCACTTCCCGCTCCATCCTCTTTCATCCATATGATACACTTCATTCATCATAACCATTTTAACAGTAACAGTGATCTTCGCTATGGAAGCTAAACTTTTTTAAATCTAAGCTCAGTACTTAACCTGAGTCGATATCTCATTAATTTGCATTTTAGCCGACTAAAAGTTCTCGACTGACAGTTTCTTATCTGGCACTTTTCATCTGTGAAACTCCCTTCCGGTTCCACACTTTCCAGACAACTTTAATCGACAAAAATTTAAACGCAATGTCAATCACTATCATTTGCCGTCATGGTTACTCTTTTCCCTTCTCGATCATTATTAATGTTTCTGTTCCTAATTCTTTCACATCCTGCAAACCCTTGTGTTTTAGTGGCTACTGTCTTGCATGGGGTGATATCGATTAAAAAAAAACATCTATGTTGAGTAGTCCTCGAAAATGGGTGAATGTTAGTATATAAAAAAGAGAATCAGAGAGAATAGCGAGTAAAATGATTTCGTGCGAAATGATAACAGAATAAAGATAAAGGATATTAAAGAATCAAAAAGATAAATAGGGGTGGTAAAGAGTCAAAGGTTATAGGGAAATAAAAGACAGGAAGTTGCGGGAAGCCATGACAAACAACGTGCAGAAGAAATACGACACATAAAAGGAATTGATGAAAACCAAAGGGACTAATTATTAATTGTAAGAAGACATAAAGTCTTCTTGCGGGCAAACGGGGATTGCCTAGGGTGTTAGTTAAACAATGTGGGCGTCAAAATCAAACAGAAATTCATCTATCTGGGCAGTGCAATAGCAGACGGCAACAATTTAATACAGAATTTCGAAGACGAAAGATGCTTTTCAAAAACTCAACAAGACATTAATAATGTTAATAAATAATGTTTATGTTATGTCTAAACTCTATTTTTCAAACTTTTGTATTTTTTGTTTGTTTTTGTTCCTTGTTTGTTTGTTTATGGTTTGTTTTGTTTTTTTGTTGTTGTTTTTTTTTTTTTTTTTTGTCTTTTCTTGTTTACCAAGAAAGTTGGTATCAAATAGCTTTCGAACCCACGAAGCCAACGGATTTGATGTCAATCGAGATTAATATGATCTCCTCACGACGTAACATCTCCCCGTTGGTTTTGACTTTCCGTAAAAACAAAAGCCTTCTTGTTCAAGTTATTGTCAGGTTTGTTTTTTTGTTTTTGTTTTTTATTTTGTTTTTTGGGGTTTTTTTACATTAAGACCGTCTCACAGGTTAGAAAGTGAATGCATGGTTGTAGGTTATAATATGATAATGTCTTTAATTATTAATGTAATGGCAAAAGATTAATGTAAAGGCAAAATCACTTACCATAACGTTGGCGCATGTGCAAGAAAGACAAAACTGTAAAGCGCGCGCAAATCACGCCGTTGATCTTATACCTGTAGACAGCAGACAAAACAGAATCTGATTCGCTAATGCAAATCTCGATGCCATTATAAAAGTAAGATCCACCTCCTGATATAATAATTATATTGTTGTTAAAATCACATCGTGTATTATGCGTTGGAGGACATCCTGTTAACAGTTCGGGGTACCTGGCAGAACGGATCTGATGTTACAATACGCGAAATTCATAATGAAGCCAGGATAACATCACTGAGGACCTCTAACGTTTCATTTTATTAATATATTTCAAGAATATGACTATGAATGGGGGACAATTTTCTAAAAAGGAAAAAGAGATTTGAAATGACAGAAATAAGTTTTTACAGACAAATGTTGAAAATACCGTGGAAAAGAGAAAATTTTAAAGAGAATAAAAATTACCCAATGACTGTTGCTAAACATCAGAAAGCAACAGATTAAATTTTAGGAAGAAATAATGAGAAAGAAAGCCTGACAAATTTAACGCCCACGGGTCACAGCAGAGTTACTCGGGGTATTATTTTTTCATTTACTCAGATAGATAGATAGATAGATAGATAGATAGATAGATAGATAGATAGATAGATCTGAAATCGAAACAAATTATCAAACGTAAAAAGCATAACCTGGAAATAAATGTAATTTTCGCAAAGTAGGTCTTCGACTGATTTTTATTTTTGAATATTTGAATAGTAGTAACACCTTTGTCGACCCAAACAAACATGTCGGCTCTATGATTAAAGTGGTTCACAAACATACAACACATAATCTCCAGTGTGCAAGACATACTTTATTTTCTTGTTTTAAAAATCTACTTCGTATTTGTACGTAATTCTTTTTGCCATTTCTTATTGCATTGAAAAGAGAATTGAATAACCGTGTTTGTTTTTGTCATGTTTTATAGATTACGAAAAGACTTTGTTACCAGACACAGCAGATGAAGTTAAGGGTTTTGCTTAAGGAGATTTTATCTTTTTCAAAACAAATTTGATAAAAGGAATCCTATTTTTCTTAATTTAAACAAACTGAAATTTATTTCTTAAATATTTCTTCTTTTAGTGTTATTTGTCTGCTTTTAGACAATAGTCTGTTAAGATGCTTCTCATAGAGAAGACGCTGATTTCGTAGTGAACGGACTTTTTTCATTGCTCAAAGAAATATATGCCGTATTTTAAAAGGGAAGTCTTGATTATTTTAATTGTCAATTTATTCTTATTTTTTTCCTTGTTTATTATATTACAATTTTTATTATATTACAATTTTTATTATATTATTATGAATTTATAACCTTTAATGATTACAATACGTATTTATTTAAGATATTTTGGTTTACATATGGTTTACATCGATTGTTTTATTTGTAAAATAAGTTATATTTAGCAAGTTTAATTTATTAAGAATGTCTCACAAAGAACTGTTATATTAAGAACATTTAATACATTGTATTTGTTAAATTACTGATACATTAGCACAAATAATTCTACTCTGTTTATATTTAAGCGTAAAATTTCTCTTTTTTATGAAAGAGAACGTAATTTTCGAAATTGTAGAAAAAGGATTTTGCGTAGTAATCATTGTTTTGTTTGCAGTCTATTGGTTCAGTATCGTCAATTTCTTTCTCTATCATTTATCATGCAAACATTTTAAACATTTGCCTACAAAATTTATTCGTTTATCCTTTTCTTATTTATTGGCTGTAACGTAACATTGTTTTATGAACGAGGGCGTATTTTCAAATTTGTAGGAAAAGCTTTGCGAGTCATAAAGTTATTTTGTTTTTGTTTTGTACAGAATATTTCAAATATTTTTAGCAATTTTTTCTCATACATTGGCTGATAATTTTATACTTTTATTCTTTTCTTATTTATTCATTTCTAGTATTATTATTTATACAATAATAATTCTTAAATTGATACATTTGATAAGGAATTGTTTACTCCAACATCAAGTGTAATATATACAGGGTGTCCATAAAGTTCGTGTGCACTTTACAAAATTTATAACTTTATTTGTATTTGCGATAGAAATAATTTGAAAAAAGGATTAGAAAGAAGTCAATCTATATTTTTCAAGGTTTTATTGAAATTTTATTTAAGTTTCCATATGTCCTTCATCATTAACAAAACAAAGGGTAATACGATTTTGCAGTTCAAGGAAAATATTTGCCAACTGATTTACCAGAATGCCTGAAATCACATTAGTTATTTTAGCTATACTTAAAACTAGGTACATTAAACTTTATAACATTTTTTTACAGATTATTTCTATCGCAAATACAAATAAAGTTATAATTTTTAAAGTGCACACGAACTTTATGGACACCCTGTATATATGTGTCTCTGTCTGTATGTGTGTGTGTGTGTGAGAGAGAGAGAGAGAAGAGAGAGAGAGTATATCCTTCTGGTAGACAAAACACGTCAGCCCTGGAGTATAGTCTATATAAGAGAAGGAAAACTTTAAATTTAAACGTCCGCTGCCTTATGGCCATACCGAAACATCGGAAAGGCTTCGGCAGTAAACCTTGAGGTTAAATCCGGACCCTAAAAGAGTCCGATGTTATGTTCAGCTTTGTTCTGGCAACTACTGCGACAACATCAGTGCCAAGCTGTATTGGAATCTACTTTTCCCTTAGGCAACATCGGTGTTACGAAGAGGAGAGACATGCTGCATGGGCAACCGCCGATCTATCATAAAACTCTCCCCAGGACTGCGCCTTGAAGAGGGCATAACTTTTGGGGCGCAGATCCATGGTCTATCGAGACTGATAGACGCCACACACAATATAGCAACTAATACATAACCCTATAACAGTTTTAACGAAACTGTGTCTATGAAATATTCTTCGCTTAGAAAGAGAATATTTTAGAACTATTATTATTACACTCGCTATGATAGAGCTTCTTTAATGTAACAGTTTTCAGACAAATGAATTTTTCCATAATATAAACACCAATTGCTGGGCAATAAACTGTAAACATTTCTTATATATTTGAAGAATCTTCTTCCGGATTGAGCAACACCATCAAACTATTTATCTTGACTCACAAAGAAAGAATTTTACAAATTCGATGAAACTATTCTCAGTTGTTTATCTAAAAGATATATTATTCAATGGCTAATTCACGTTAAATTATAGCAAATATTCTGTCTTTTGCCCGACCTTTTTTTCTAACCAATCGGAAATATGCTTCATCGATTAGCTTTCCACTTTTCAACATTCTGATTGAAAATATTCAACAGTAAATAAAAATGGTATATATCTTACATTTCCATTAGCATGTATATTTGTAACGATATTTATCATCTTTTATAACTCACATTTTGAAAAATGAAAACAAATTTTTATCATTTCTCTAAAAGAAAAAAAGAAAATTTACAAAGTAGCTTTTCTTGCCAGACAGTATTTAAAGTTCGTAACATCTGGTAGTTGTTTGCAGTTTAGATTAACAAACTGGTTTTACGCAAAAATACAAAGACATAACTAGACTGTAAAAAATGGAAGCCAAATTTTGAAAATGTTTGAATATAAAGCATAAATAAAATTGAAAGCCATATATCAATACAAAAGACACTTTTATTGGGTTAGAGAGAAAAGATCGTGCTGATGTTAACTGTTCATTCAAAAATCGTAAAACTTACAGTATTTTAGTTTATTGATCTTAGGATTGAAAATATAAAAATAAAATGGAAAGTAAGCGATATTTGTGGCATATTATGTATTTGTATTTTAACAGAAGCAAAACTTTGACTCAAGAAAATAATTGCGCAGTTCCTGGAAATGGATTATGTAATGTGGTTTGCGAAGTTTCGACGCTGAATATTTCTAAATGAACAATGCGAAAATCAGTCGGGCAAATCAGTTGAGTCGATATCAAATCGAGATATTACTTAATGATGGACATATTAAATAATGAGATATTCAGAGTGATGAAAATCTTTTTGTTTCGTTTAAATTGGAACTTGTACAAACAGGCAAAAACAAAATCTACTAGGCTGAATGTTTTTAAAAGAAATGGTGTCAAACGATGAAAAACAAGCAATAAAAAATATCGTTATGTGAAATGGACCTCAACTAACCGGATAATGTTAAAGTGCATATTTCTTTGGAGATCTGGCAAACATTATTACAGCTTCGCGATTCGGATTACCATGTGTTCCAGTCTTTACAAACTTTTTTTAATGAAAAAGTAGTCTACAAAGGATTGAATCCTGAGATCTGTGCACTTGTAAATACATTTTACAATCTCCGAATATTTTATGTAAATTTGACTCTTTCAGAACACAATAGCAGAAAATAATAAAAAAGTTGCTCGTATGAACGATTTATTTTATTTATACATTGACATGTCAAAGGTAATGAGATAGTTACTGAGTATAAAAGCTTAAGGCCAAATCACATCGAAACATTTGTTCCAGTACGATCATCGAAAGTTAAGCAACGTCGAGCCTGGTCAATACCTAGATAGATGTCCGCTTGGGAATACCAGGCTCTGTAAGTTTGAATATGCGGGTGAGGTGATGTCTAATTGCTCGGAAATGTTAACCAGAGAACCGAGTTCCAATTCCCGTTGGGTTCGTTATATTCAGTTACGCATAAATACCCTTGGGAAAGGTATGAATTACCTCTACTCCACCCAGCTATAATACTGATTTAGTGATACAACTCTTACTAGACTCGTATCACTAAATAATTATTATTTAAAAAACATTCTTACAAAGTAAAAATATTCTCTGGCTTTAAATAACCTGCAAAGTGTTGATAAGCCGTAAGAAACTTAAGAAGACTAATTTCATGAAAAACTGATAAAATGATAAAATGATTTTATAAATTTCAACCAAAAGTAACACTAATTGTTCGGTCAATGTAAACGGATTTTCCTTCTTATATGGAAACGGCTATCTTTAACATTGCCATTACCATGAATCTTGGGTTCGTCGCGTCTTACGTCCATATCACTTTGAAATAACGGTTCCTGCACGATCATCAACATTGAACTTGGTCAGATGGGTGACCTCTTGGAAATACCGGGTGCTGTAAGTTTGGATGTCTGCGTGGTGTAATAGAGGATGGCTCGGAATTGTTAATCGGAGAACCGAGTTTCAATTCCCGTTGGGTTCGTTATATTCAGTTACGCACAAATACCCTTGGTAAATGTATGAATCCACCTCTTCTCCCCCCAGATATGGTCAATTAGTAAGACTTTTACTAAACTATTATTATTTCCAAAAATAAAATAAAATTATGTTCAAAATATTTAGATTTTGGCATTAAATAATCTAAAAATGGTTGCTATGCCGCTAAACAAAGACAACCACCCTAGTATAAAGTAAGAGGCCCTCTAGCCCGGTGAAGCAATTCGATTCAGGGTTTATCATTCACTATGCAGTAAATCCTCGATTAAAAGAACTAATTAAGGAAAGTGTGTTCCTTAAATCTGGTAAATCCCTCATTTCCTAAAGAAGAAACAAATTCTCAAGATCACCGGATTTAATGTACACCGTTTTGCTAAATCCAAGACACTCAGCATGCAAATGAACAATGTTACATAAAACTCTACAAAATATCAAATAAAACAATTTTACGTACCTTTTCTTACTGATACTGAGATGATTTTTGAAATTGTTAATATATTTCTGATCTGCACTTTAATTTACATTGTACCCATAACCGAGGCTTAGAAAATGTCCAAATATCCATACATAAATAATCTTGTCAGTTTTGAC